TCTCTCTCTCTCTCTCTCTCTCTCTCTCTCTCTCTCTCTCTCTCTCTCTCTCCTCGGGACACGTTATATTGTAATGAATGAATTATGGTAACCTCGCTTCTCTCACTTCGGTATGTGCATGTGGTGAGTCGTGTTAAAGAGTTGTTATAACATGGTTGTAAGGACGATTGGCTGATCGACTGAATGATCTGATTGCTTGGAGTGTCAGAGGAATGATGTATGATTGAGATCTGTTTTGAGCTTATCCTTGCTACCATATGGACTGACGGCCCCAATTTGACCGGGCGCCAACTGCCCGTGCCCCCGCCGCGCCCCTTCCCGTACAACGAGGAAAGGACACGTGTATGCGAGTGGGACGTATGAGAAGCCGTCACCAAGATCGAAGGACCTGATTTCTTTCCTCTCGAAACTCGGTGTTCTGGATTTGTCGGTGTGGGTTTTGTTATCATCGATATGCACTTTCCACCCTATTCGTTGTTATTACCCTTTAACGAACTGATCGTCGTCCCGTGGATGGCACTGGAGTCTCATTGGCCTAATGCTGTGTGCAGCAATTGCCGCCGGTTCGAGCGTTATCAGGCCAAGGGGTTCCACTATCGTATACGCGGCGAGGACGAACACAAAGAAAATGCCACTCGGTTGAGGCCCTCCACGTCGGACTCGGAGTTGTGTAACGAGCGCCGACGAGACCTCATTCAAAAACGGGATACCACGTGTGTACCCGCCCCCTTTCACGTGGAACGAAGAGTGACGGCTCATTGGGAAGTCCAACGATACTTTCAGGATCGAATTTCCCATAGCTGTGAGCCCCGTGTGCACCTTTTTCTCCCTTAAAACCCGCGCGGCGACAGACCTTCTTCTTAATACAGTCGGATTAACACGGGGGATTTCAGTTCTATCTGTGTCCCCACATTCAATTTTCCAAAAATCCTTGGCACACCCCATCTTCGCCGCCTTTCCCGGGCCCCTTTCCGCAAACCAAAACACTCTGACCGGAAAGCAGCGCAGGGCATGAGGTTGAGCGTCACAGGTACCCATCGAGACTCCACTCAATGCCAATCGCATCAGTTACCATCCCCATCAGAACCCCCTTCCCCCTCGCCAACTCCGTCCTCGTAAAGAGTTCAGGACACCATATCCTAAGCATGAGCCAGACACAATTCTCAACCTGCAATCTCCTGCCCCCTCGGAAATTTCAGTCTCCGTCCTCAAGGGGGTGAACCAGCGTTGTCTGAGGTCAATCGCACCAGAGTGAACCCTCATTGCGGCCCTGATTTAACCCTCTCTCCGTCCTCACAAAGAGTCATCTCATTCCCTTTGCCCTCCGCCTTGAAACGATCCCCCACAACCCAACAGAACCTCCACTCCCCTGTCCCAACCCGGACCCCCATACGAACTAGCGAAATACTAAATGAAGATAAAAGAGTACCTTTTCCGAAAGATCACTCAAAGAGTCAAACTAAATGCGAAATTGAAAACGACGTACCATCAAAAAACGGTCAAGAGTTACAACTTCGATAGGCAAAACTTGGCAGTCAAGTAATTTGATTAACAAACCTCAATGACAAGAATCAAGAAAATCCAGTTAGAGGATGAATTTTCAAAGTAGATTGAGGTCAAAGCAAGGCTCTGATTTACGAATCTTCATTCAAGAATTATTCACCAGAATTATTTCAGAAGCACAATGAGAGATTATGAATTTGAAGTCTCCAACTTCAATTCGTTCCATATCCATAAACGGATTAGAGCAAAAAAAAAAAAACAATCAGAGAATACGATTGATGACAAGACATAAGACCCTCAATCAAAATTCTAATATGCCACGTCATTTGAATCCTATTATCAAGAAACAATCAAGAATCGTGAATTGAAATCATCAATGAAAAATCAACCTTAGGATTGAAAAACTAAGTTATTAGACACGATTAGTAGATTCCAAATTATAAGACAGCCAAGCCACGCATGAGCTAAATCCCAATTCAGTAACAACCTCTCATCCCTTCTTACTTAAACCACCGGTCCCCCCGCCAGTGAAAACCCTTGGTCGCGGTGAGTTAGGGTTGGGTTTTTCGGAGGTAGCCGGCCACAACTCACCGATATTCAGCAGTCCCAGGCGAGTGTACCACGTTCCCGCGTAGCAGACGGCGAACGCCGCCGGATTCCATCGACGACCGTCGCGACGTGAATCCGGTCCAGTGTTGGGGCCGCCGCGTAACCTCGATCGGACTTCGTGTCGTTGGCGGCAACGAGGACCGAAATCGAATAAAAAAAAAAAAAAAAAAAAAAAAAAAGTAACGAGAAAATAAAAAAATTCGCGGCCGTGCTCTCACCGTGGTGCCTGTCCTGTACAAAAACTGTAATGTGAAAACACGTTCCGAACGCCGTGTTCTCCAGTCCATTGCGTAGGGTTTCCGTTCGGCGTGCGGAATCCGACCTCCGTTCGGGATCGTGCACTGTAGTCCGCCATCGCCGCCAACCCCCAACGGAACCTCGGACCACTTGCTGTGTTGTTTCCCTCCACCGTCATACCCAGCCCTCGAGCGCCCGCGTCCCCATGTCCATCGTTGCACTGCGGCGGGCAGATAGCGGTGCTGCGTTGGCCCTTTGTGCGCGGCGGTGTGTGTTCGTTTAGGGTTCGTGCGTGGTGCTCAGTCTCGCTGTTGGCATGCAGTTGCGTTGTCACA